ATGCTTACGCGTTTGTGTTATATAATAATCGTCATGTGCTCCGGACACACAATGCTACGCATTAGCCTAGTATTATATCGAATCAACCGATGTATTATGTATTATTTTCCGGAGCGTAGCGGAGGACTATTAATGTGATACAATAGTTACGCTCTTGATTTATATTATACTGGTGCATCAAAAATGTAAATTTGAAAATTCACGTCTGTCCGCACGCGTGTCTATATTTGCACTTTAGTGTAACAAAAGCATATCACGCGTTTGTGCAATATGTAATTATCATGCGCTCCGGACACACAATGCTACGCATTAACCTAGTCGTTAGGGAATTTACTGTAGTACTGCTGTATTGTTAAACTCAAAGCACACGATATTGATGGAAAGAACATGTAAAAGGAATTACTAATGTATGAGTTTGTCTTAACGGAGATCTTAACCACACCTGCATTGATAATACCAAGTTCAGTATGAGAAATTCTGGTTTGCCATACGAGTAACAGACGAATATACCGGTACAAGTCACTCTCGTTATAGTGAAGTCCTCGGGCTGTAAAATTTCTTCACTATATATATTGAGAGATTCACTATATCGAGAGCCTTTTATTATAGTAATAATAATTGTGTTCTAAAAAATCTTCACTATAGCTAATCTTCACTATATCGAGAGTTCACTATAACGAGAGTGACTTGTATATATAATATATATATATCATAATGTTAAATAATACCCTATTGATCAATTTGGATACGAACCCAATGGCTATTCAAACTTCCGGTAGACTACAGTACATAATATAGTAATTTCGGAAAAACTGAAATACTTTATTTTCAAAAATAGTTTAGGCACACTTCTAGTTAGTAATTGGAATCGTATCGGGTTATAATCGAATATTCAGATTAAAATAGTAACAGGAATTCGATTATAAATTTGATTCTGTAAACAAGCCTTTGAATTCGTGACAGAGGTTTCAGAAAGGTGGATTAGCGTTTATGACCTTTTAATTACTTTAATTTCTCAAATTTGTCAATTTATTCTACTTTTTCTCATATAGCATCAAAACGGGAACATGGGTTGGAGACGGTTTTATTTATGCAAATACTGTCAATCGTCTGAAATATCTTGTCGGTGCACAGACCTTTACCATTAATCATTTTTATACGTAAGTATGTTAATATAAGAATGTTAAAAGTAATTTTCATTCACTCAAATTTTAATTATCGTAATTTTAGAAATATGTACCTACTGTACTGGGGTACATTCCTAAAGATAACCGTATATACTTGGCAGATAAGGTATAACTGATATTTATTCTTATATATATAATAAGTATATATATATATATTTATTTGATTAATTTGGTTAATTTGCTATGATACGTACGTACTGTACGTATGCAGAAAAATTTATATTTACTAATTTTATATATATATATATATATATATATATATATATATTGAATTTTGAAAAGCTTATTTTAATTACATTAAACGCAATGAAAGGCATTATCTAATGATAAATATCTTTGAACTTTAATAGCCTATTTTGAAAATTTTCAAATAATTAAATAATACATTGTAAATATTCTCTCAGTCTAAATTAGTGATAGTATTGCAAAATTGCTACTTGATGAATATAAGACCTTACCGCTGTTTTCAATTTAGTTGGATTTCATGAGTTTTGTCTCGTAATTACTATTTTGGCGCAGGTAATGTTTACGACAAATATCACGTGATGCGCCTTCGTCTCATTTAGACGAATCGAATGGCACCAAAACCATCCAATTACAATCACTAGATCATGAAATATTATTCATTGAAGTTTAGTTAAAAAAATGGACACAATTTGATATAGCGCCTAATTTGACACAGGTAAACGTTTATCTGTGTCAAATTTGGTATATCTACTTTGGACTGTTTTGGTTAAATGGAGTATCTCAAAAACTATCGCTCAGAACCAGGTGATTTTGGTACCGTTCGATTCGTCTCGATGAGACGAAACGAAACGAATGGTACCAAAATTATATGATTCTGATCAACGGTTCATGAGATATCGTTGTGCGTCAAATTAGGTACATCTACCTTAAGAGATACCTAACTTTGTCAGGCTCATTTAACAAATATATACCTTTTAACATTCTTTTGGTCTACGATTCTAGCAAGACCAAATAAATATTCGCATTTTTGCCTTAATATCCAGCTTTGGAACTCAAGTTTTATACTAGAGAAAAAAAAATAACAGACAAAATATATGATTATCATAATTCTTGTACCTGATAAAAATTAGCTGAATGATTTTTCAGCCGATTCGATTAAGTTTATGATTTGGTATGATCCGTATAATAAAAACTATTTTTGTAACATTATGATTGTTTTACAGTCATTGTAATGATAGTATCTACGTATTAAATTTTCGTTAGAATGCTTGTCTAACATGTTTAGTGTGTTTAGTTTGTACGAAATTATGAAAAAAATAGCTCTTGTCAATCAATCAATAAATCTTAGAAAGAAATATAAAAGGGATCCGGATACAAAATTAGACTTCTATAATAAACGAATTAGCGCAAATAAAAAAAAAAAGAGTATATGCTGCATGTTTATTGATTCTTGTCAATTTGGAATTGACATGTATCATTTGTGAATCAATGAATAACGTACATATGTCGTTTGGAATTGGTATGAAAAAAGACGAAATGCAAGATCTTCTATTTTTATTTTATTTATTTATTTAAAAAAAAAAGAAATAAAAGCTAAATATGTCTTATTAGACAATTAGAAAAATTCATTTACATTGTCTTAAAGCTTCTAAATTAGCACGATATTCTTTCTGTAATGACAACAGGTACCAGTTTTTTAGGAGTTGAATAATTCAGTTTGTACTGTACATTAAATCTTTGCCAATATTATATGTAAAGCTTCATTTAATAAACAAATAAAGATATTCCATTGCTACGTATATGATTTGAAATTTTGGTTTAAAGATAGACTGGGACCAATTATTTTTGTCTAAATTGGACATATAAAATTTCATATGTCTAAATTGCCAACACTAGCTGGAAGTGTATAGCTTTTTTTAACACTTGTTTACTTAACGAATGCGAGCTTTTTACAGAGCATATGCTTATTTACAAATTCACAAAATTCAAATGAACGTTTAATTTAGTTTTGCCTTATTCTATGATCCTTCAGATAAATTGCTGATTTTTGACTTTACGATAATAGCCGGCTTTCAATATTTTCTTTGACTATTATGTGTTTCTAGTACATGATTATTAAATAAGGAAAAAATTCTGAAGATACTTAACAATACTTAAAGTTTTTTGCTTTATTTATGAACATCATCAGTGACGTACTGTACATAGGTCGTTTGTTGATCAGTAAAAAAAAGTGATTCTGAATTAACAAGAATCAATAAATAACGCATAACATATTTATTCTAAATATAAGTTCATTGTTTTATCAGTTGACTTGAACTACAAGATCTTTTAATATTCACTTTATAATGGATATAATTCAAGTTAATGCATTCAATGACAATTCTTTTTTAAGTTCTAGCAATTTCACTTAGTCTTTTTGAGCTTCATTTTTCTTTTTATTAATTTTGGCGACAATTATTACATGATCGAATTGTTTAGAATAAAATTCAATAACGATAAGGACTTTTGATTTGCAACTATATATTACATAAATAAAAATAGTTTCATATTGATGAGTATAAAAAATGAAATTTAGATTGAATAGAGATATTGCATCTACGTAGTCGTTATTCAAAAATCTGATAATAAGTCAGAGTTAAGCAAGGAAAACAATATGGTTTATATAGAATATAGATTCATCCGCTTAAAATAATACCCTAGAAAAAGTCACCAGCTTAAAAATCTTTAAGACATACACTATAAGAAAAATTTAATTGATTTATATTATTATGAATCTTATTGATATAAATTGATATAAATTGATAAAATACTTTAAGCTTTTAATTTTTTAATCTGATTAAGAAATAAATAGGGATGTTATCGTGCTTGTCCAGACTCAATTTGAGCCTGTTTGAAACCCAAACCTGTTAAACTCGAGTTTTGTAATCATGTGATTTTAATTAAACTCAGTACTGCTCATAGTGCTCAAATCGAGTTCGAAATCGATTTCTCAAGCAAAATGTTTATGATTTGTAATTAACTTTTTTTTTTTAATTAAAAGTTAATTTCCATGATGTAATGACGTGATTTTTCGTATTATTGATTTTTAATTAAAAGCTAATTTCTAACGATATGTATTACGTACAATAAGCATTATGCAATTTTTTATTTCTTTGTAGAAGCGTTTCAATTGTTATTTGTTTATTTTTATTTTTTTATCTTTATACGATGGTTGAAGAAAACGCACTTGAAAATTTTAATAATATGAATGATCTTACCTCTACATCAATGTCAACATTATCTCAACATACACCTGAACCAGAAGTACAAAATAATCTTACTTCCATATCAATTTTAACATTATCTCAACATACACTTGAACCGGAAGCACTAATGGATACAACAAATCGCCCTCCTAAATGATAAAACTAACCTCTTCTGGGATGAACTTAACAAAAATGGCAACAGGCGACATTGCAAATACTGTGCCCAAAACTATTCAATGGATACAGGTCTTTCTACAATAAAGTTGCATTTTAAACATAATTATTCGAATAAGTGAAATAAATTAATGAGAATTATAAGCAATACAAATATTGAACCATATAGTGCTGATAAAATGCTTCAAATAAACCAATATTTTTTAAAATAGATTATTACAGATCAACAAGCCTTTTCACTTGTTGAAAATAAATCCTTTCAACAATTTATTAATCAATTAACTCAATAATATTATCTTTCTTCAAGACAATATGTTGTACAAAGCATTTTAAAATTGTATTACGACAAGCAACATGAGTTACAAAGCTTTTTTAATGGAAGTAAAAACAAATTTGCAATTACAACAGATGCATGGACTTCATGCACTAACCTCGGATTTCTTGCTATAACACTTCATTGGATTAATGAACATTGGGCTATGAAACATATTCTATTGGACATGATTTCACTTCATGAGCAGCACACTGGTAGTTATATTAGTAAAAAAGTTTTAGAAATGATTTCATTTTATGGTATAGGCTCTCGTATTATCTCTGTAACTACTGATAATGCACCCAATATGGATGTATTTGGATAGATGCTTCATGAAAAGCTTAGATATAAATATAGTAATCAAGACTTTAAATATGTGCGCTGTGCGGCACATATATTGAATCTTGCAGTTTTTAAAGGCATGAAGATTGTCATTAATTCTATTTCAAAGTTACAAAACTTTGCTAGCTATATACACAAGTAGTGGTGTTGCCGCATTGAGGTAATTAATTACGACCGATTGTAGTGAAGTTGCAACTTTTCGGTAGTATTGACGTA